GGGCTCCTGGCATCGCTACTAGGAGCAAGGACGCTACTAGGCGCTCCTGGCATCGCTACTAGGAGCAAGGACGGTACTGGGGCTCCTGGCACCGCTACTAGGAGGACTACTAGGCGCTCCTGGCCTCACTACTAGGAGCAAGAAGCTACTAGGGGCTCCTAGCATCGCTACTAGGAGCAAGGACGGTACTAGGCGCTGCTAGGAGCAAGGACGCTACTAGGGGCTCCTGGCCGAACTACTAGGAGGGTTGCTGATCTGAAAAGTTCAGCCGTAAATTTTGCCGCGTGTTGGATCACTTGACGCGACCGGGAACGAGGAGGGATCAAAACGCAGAAGATCACTGTAGTGAAACTGAACCTGTGTTTTGGAACGCGTGCAAGATCACTTCTTGACTGCAAGGTAGACATGGCTGCAAAATGCTGTAAATTATTCTTGAAAGGTGTTCATATATGGAATAATTTTTGGCCAGGTGTAGGTCCACCACTCCTGAAGGATAAACTAATTATTCTGGGGCCCCAGCCACCCCGGGGCCCCAGATGGGAGGCCCTTCGGACCCGTGAAGACCGCGTGACCGGTGTGTCCGAGGGCGTCCTGCGACGACGACGACGTGCCATCCCGACACCGGAGGCGGAGCGGCGGAGCGGGCGGGGGCGCGAAGAATGGAAAGGTTGCTGTAAGAATGCTGTACATGGCGCGCATACCAAGTGAAAGTACCCCCATATAGGAGGGGGGCGAATCACGTGTGGATGTTTTTTAATTCGTATGAAATGTTTGAAGATGTTCGAAAGTATTGACTTAGTAACAGTATATAGACTTGAAAGCTATAAGGAACAGAAAAGGTCAACAGAAGGAACTCAAGCAGTGGCAGTGGTGGCCTTTCCGAATTCTTGTTGGATTCCCAGCCTGCAGGTTTTGGGGCCTGGCTTCCTGTTAAACACGAACTGATAACAGCTGAAGAAATTTGATCATGTCCCTGAAGAAACTCGATTGTTTCTAGGGCAACTGAAGGGGTCAGTTTGTTCCGGCGGACCGTGCCTATTAATACGGTTCCTTAGTTACGTTGGGAATTGGGGCAGCAAGGGACCCTGTGAAAGCGCATGCGATTTATCCTCAAAGCCACCAGGCATGAATACTCAAGGAAAAGGCTGCAATTTCAAGCAACATGTTCTCAAGGTCTAGTCCAAGTCCACGAGATGTTTCGTTTCCATCGATCAACATTGCCGCGAAGTGCCCGATGCAAGTGCCAATAAAACTTCAATTTGCCGACAAATTTGATTGCCCCATAGGCGAGTCCTGTGTTTTCTTGATGCACCCTATCCCGGGATATTGTAAGAGACCCCTACATGGAAGTTATAGTTATAGGGAATCACAAGCAGATGGCATCAGCACAAACGTATCTATGTGCCAAATCTTTAGGAAACAAAACATCAAACAACCGGGGAACTCATTGGCACAAACAGTTTAGAATCGGAAATGTACTATACCCAGACACTCCATTTACCTACATTGGGGTGGTTTTGAGGGGGTCAATGTAGGCAGTCCCATGGAGTAAATGGGTGTATATAGGTTTTGAGATGTTTAGCGTATGGCCGTGTGGCACTATGTCCCACTTCTTTCGAAGAACGCGTGTTTGGGGAGCGTTCGTGCCAGCTAAGCAATCTCCTTGTAATCAGGGCTTTTGAATACTATGTAAACTATGTATAGCTGTAGCCAGGAGGGTGGGTGACTGTAGAATTCTTCACATTGGTGTTGCCCAAACGAAGCAGTGACAGACGCCCTACTCTTCAGAAACGGGAGACGTGCAAGTGACACATGCAGCTCCAAATGTTCACATTGGGTCCAGTTCCCTAGAAGCGACGCGATGGCCTCTATAAGAGCGATGGCCTCGCCTGGTAGCGATGGCCTCCAACCTAGTAGCCGTTCCCTCCTGTGTGTTTCAGACGTTGTTCAACTCGGCGATTGAGACATCCAGGCATCCAAGTAGGCCCGGCGGCATCGGGACGCAATTCATGAGAACGAAAAGCAATCAACAAATTCATACGGCTTTCAGGTTGAAGGACAACACCTTGTTGTTCTTTGATGGGGCAAGGTTCTTTGACTCTTGAGATGTGAATTCTTTCAAGACAAAGGAACGCTAGGGGCTCCTGGCCTTACTACTAGGAGCGTTCGGACGCTTCTAGGGGCTCCTGGCATCCCTACTAGTAGCATTCTTACTAGGAACAACGTCGACAAACCATTAAGAATATTGGAACGTTGCAGTGATGCGACCGGCGGGGGGATTTTGCGAGAAGGTGCGTCGCGTAACCCGGCACCACTTGGCTCGGCACCGTGGTTCCATGTGGAGAACCAAATGGGTGTCAACAGGAGGTGGGGAAAAGAACATCCGGATGAAGACCCAACCGATATAGAAACAAACAGAAGTACTCGTGTCGTTTTCTTCTTCTCCACTCAAGAATCATCTCATCCAAGAAATATAATGATGTTTTGAAAAGTTGTTGTTGTTTTGTCTCAGCCGCCGTGGAGGGTATGCGTTCCACCCATTTTGTCTCAACCGTTCCCAATCCCAAACTAAGCCTTTTCTTAGACCATTTGCGAAGTTGTAGGAATACACCATACCTTGTATGGTCCTTATAGAACCACCTGCATGGTCCTTTGCAACGTTTACTGACACGGCTGACTCTGCCAATAAGATCTTTGATGGCTTCAGATGTTCATTTAGTGTATGCAGCGGGAAATCAGGAAAAAAGAGCTCAGAGCAAATAAATCATGCGACAATGAAATAAGTCCCGCGAAGCTCCAGACGTCTCAAATCAGTTGGATTGAAATACAGCGTGGTAAAACGCTGCCTACGTGCGCAAAACCTAAGAACCCACAAGTGAACACACGGGTCCATGGGCATGCTGCGTGGTTGCTGCACGTCATGGGGCGAAGAATAAGCTCAACGGGCAGGGATGATGGACATGATGCGTGGTTTGACTCTCATGAAGGAACCCTAGCTGATACAGAACCACATGTGCCGGTGGACGGTCAGAGGCCCTCGAACTGTTAGCCGTTCTGATTCACAGTCCGCTGCGCGTTCGCTCACGTCCTGTGATCTGGGACATCGGCTGGTTTGTCCCTCCGGGGCTCTGGTCGTCCTCGTCCAGTTGACCTGGTCGTTCGTTCGCGTTCGGGGAGCATCCCTCTTTCCTATCTCCGGGGGCTGACACCTGCCATCACCTGCCATTCTCCAGGTCGATCCGCCAAGGACCAGGTCCAGACGTCCGACGCGGTATGGCGGGCGAAGGAAGGCCGGAAGGGTCGGACGTCTCATGTCGTCCGCCTCGGACGGTGAGTTTCTTCGGGCTAACGCGTTTTGGATTGGACTGGGCTTCCAAAAAAGGGGGGGTGAAGGTCCTGAAGGTCCTCTCCTCCCCCAGTTCTGAGAAGTTCCTGCTTTGGTCCCTGACCGCCGGTGCTTGGACGGTGGTTAAACCCCCTCTTTAATAAACCAGTCAATATCAGTCAACTGGGGTATAGTCATTCCCCGAAATGGTTTGAACAAGTATAGTACTAAGTAACATAAGTCAATGAAAGCACCAACCAAGTGATCAGGACCCATATATTTAAAACACCCTCCGGACCAACGCCATCCTCCTGACGATGCACCCGCCCTTTGATGCACCGCAAAACGACCTCCCGACGTACCGCAACGGTCGTGGCAAACGCTCGCGTGATGCTCAGAGATCCAACTCACACAGCGCACCCGGAGCCCTGACGCCCCGTGCGGCCCGTCGTTGCACGCACCATGCGATTGAAGAACAAAAGCGAGCAAAGCAAACACTTACAAAACTATAGACGACGAGTGGCCCGAAAGCATTTTTCATCACGTATGAAGTCAGAGTGTGAGTTATGTGTTAAGTGTTCAGTGTGAAGTGTTAAGTCAAGTGTGTTGAGGCAGTGTGTGGGTCTCTGTGTGTGTGTCTATGTCTGTGTGTATCTGGGTCTGTGTCTTTCTATGTATCTATCATAACGCCCTCACCGGCGGGCAAGCAGCGACAGCTCCGCTCAAGGTCGCGAGCATTCGAGCTGCTGGTAAAGGCAAATGGTGAAGTTCTTCACTCTAGATATAGTGAACCAAGTAGCGCGCAGGCCTCCCAGACGCCCCACCGGCGGCCAAGGGGTGACAGCTCAGCTCATCTTCGTGAGCATTTGAGCAAAGGGAAGTGTCCATTCCTCAGAGTGTCCATTCCTTGAGAAGCAGCATTCACGCCTCCAGGAAATCTCACCGAACAAACCGAGCTGGAATGAAAATAGAAAATTGCTGCAGCAGCTACGCAACAAGTTTGTCGAAGCAGTGACCTGTCAGAGGAGATGCGTCCATCGATATACGGTCAGAGGTAACCTTTCCTTCACTCTAGGACACAGCTTCTCTAGGATGTAGTTAACCAACCACTATGCTTGTCATTGTCTACTAATTGATTGTCCCAAAGAAAAACGTGACAAAGTAACATGAGGTGACACACAGCAGCCACTGCATATGTTTTAGCGCACTCCCTCTGCTCAGCTCGCGACTAGCCTTTGTACACAGAAAAGATAGTTTATGTCTAGTAACCGCCTTGTTGTGCTTCCGCAGAACGACGTCCACACAGGAGGTGTTTGGAAGAAGTCACGATATGAAACATGCAGTTGGTGTCCATGTGAACATCTTGTTGTTTTTTCACCTCCATTCAGGGTCTTTGCCTAGTTAGGCAGCAGGTTCTTTGCCAGCATGGTCTGGGTCTAGTGCATCGACCCGAAGCAGATCTGGATGGTGTAGGCATCTGTGAAGTTGCGGCTGTTGTTCCTCACCCAGTCTTCCCATCCATTGGACCACCTGACCACTCGCCAAAACTGCCAGGTTTCTCCATGGGCAACCCAGTCTCTGGTTTCTATGGACTGGTTTGGCCATCTTTCATGGATGAGCTCTGGCTGGTTGTCATGGTATGTCCTGCTTCCATAGGACCAACAGAGGCACACCTGTCTCTGGTCATCATGGGTGACGATGAAGAAGTGGCGGTCAACAATGCCAAGATTCCCTGATGGCCGGGAAAAGAGGCAGACCTGGCAGACCTACGAGCAAGTGGGCTGCAAATTGGTAAATTGTTTTTTTTCAGCATTGGTCAATGAGGCTCAGCACATGCATAGCCATAAGAAGGCTCTGTTTGCCTTGTAAAGTTTCATGTCGGAAATGAATATTGCAAAAGCTTGTGGGGTGTGTTGAAACTTCTTGCAAGTGAATTTCATTGCTGTTGAGTTGCTTTAGTTTCTGGCTAAGATATGGTGGTAGCTGGCCCAAGTTGTATGGAGACTTCTGCAATCTCACTGTGAGCACCAAAAGGTCAGCTACGCCGAATGCACAGTCTGTTTGCACAGATGCTCTCAAGGTGACATTTGCTTCACTCTAGGTGTAGTTAACCAACCACTATGCTGCCAGTTCTCACCTTCCAGCTTGCCAGCTACTCCGCGTATACAGTTGTACTACGACGTCGGCAGCTCTCATCTTCCAGCTCCCCAGCTACTCCGCGTACTACAGTTGGACTACAAAGTCGCCAGTTCTCATCTTCCAGCTCCCCAGATACTCCGCGTACTACAGTTGTACTACCAAGTGGCCAGTTCTCATCGTCCAGCTCCCCAGCTACTCCGCATACTAAAGTTGTACTACCAAGTCGCCAGTTCTCATCTTCCAGCTCCCCAGATACTCCACGACTCCGCCTACTAAAGTTGTACTTCGACGTCCCCATCTCATCTTCCAGCTCCCCAGGTGGTCCGCGTACTGAAGTTTTACTACAAAGTCGCCAGTTCTCGTCTTCCAGCTCCCCAGCGCGCATGGGACAAGTCGCCCACTCGCCTGCGTTTCGCGCACTCGACCCACACGATCTCCGCAGAGGGTTGCATTTTCGGTTGATGCTGTTCGTCCCACCCTCGGCCTTTAAAGAGAATTTATAAAGTGGGGAAATGTTCTTCATTGGGACATCTCCCGTGAAAGCTTTCAATACTCACACTTGCATACTTGCACTAGGATACTTACACTTGCACACTTGCACTTGGATACTTACACTTGCATACTTGCACTTGGATGCTTTCACTCTTACACTTACACTGGGATACTCATGCTTTCACTCTTACACTTACACTGGGATACTCACACTTACAAACTTTCACTTGGATACTTCTGTGCCATTGTGAGTCTTGAAGTGTAAGTGTTCAAGTGTAAGTGTAGAAGTGTAAGTGTTCAAGTGTAAGTGTAGAAGTGTCAGTGTTCAGGTGTAAGTGTAGAAGTGTCAGTCTTCAAGAGATTTTCCGGAAGAACCCTTCGCAATGCCTTCGGGAAAAAGTAACTAAGACTAATTAATGTTTTGATGACATTAAAATTATCGCTATAAAAACTTGAATTCTGAAGTCTTCTTGAGCCAAAGATGGAAATCCGCAAAGTAATTGCCGCAAAACGCATGCAATGGCGAACATCCCCAAAATGGTTTGGATATGAGTGTGCGTTTTTTGAGGGATTGCGGCGCGTTTTGCTTGAGTGAACGATTTTGTGTAGCGAAAGAATCTTCAGGCAATGCCGGTTTATTTCTTATGCATGCTTTGAAGTATGCTTTGATATCACTGCAAGCTTGATTGCAATTGTATGAAGTTTGGACCTGACCTTGAGCCATCTGATTTTTTCCGACCCCAGCTGAACACAATGGGGAACCCAATGCATCTGACTTCTGAGGGACAAAAATCCATCCATCCATCCATCCTTTGGGCACATGATTTGTTTCAAACTGCTGTCCCTACAGTTTGCGAGGCCACACGGTCTTCATGCCGCACCACTGAGATGAGCGTAGCGACATAGGTGGCCACGGCTGAACGCTTTTGGGGCGAACAGCGCTCGAAATGGCAGGGACAAGAAGCAACAAAGACGGAACTTGCGACAAACTGGAGGGAAAACCTATGGATGACATGTTATGTTGTTTCTTCCCGGCAAGTCTAGGGGTTGACTCGATTTTGCTTTGGGTTATAGGGCGCATGTTCTTAGTTTATCGTTTGCAAAAATCTCACAACAACGTCAATTCCCACCTCTGTTGGCCGTGGGGCGACACTGCACATGGAACATCGATTAGCCTCAGAATCTTCCCGGCAGTTTATTGAGGCCAGGGTTGTTTCAGCCACGGGTGTTTTCTGACCAAATGCTCCGTACAAAACACCACTTGGAACGGAACCTTTTGCTTTATCAAACCCCTGTGTGAATGACGAGCTCGAAGTGTTCGTGCCAAGTCGAAGTATTTTCCACTGTGGCCAGTTTTGGGTTTCATAGTTACTCAAGGAGCAGCGCTGCGGAGGCCGCAGGCCATGTTTAATGGGACAGCGCTAGCGTTGAGATGGGGATAGATGGGGAACGCTCCCTGGGGTAGGAGCATGGGGACGAGATGAAACAAAAAACAACTGGGCTGGCTGCACGCGTGGAGGAGTGGCTGGGTTGGCAGCTGTTGCTTAGAACATGGTTGAAGCTGAATGCGCACATGAGCCCCAGCAAAGGGCCCCCGGGCAGGAATGGGGATGCTGCAATATGAACTCTGATTGAAATCGTTTCGATCTGATGCGATCCAAACGGCTCACCTGCCCGAACCGGTTTCCAGCGAGGAGAACCTGACGTCCTTTTGAACCGGTTGGTCCGGTCACGACTCGGAGGTGCAGAGCGGGTCATCGGATTGAAGGTTCCAGAGAAGAGCAACGGCGGGAAAAGCTTCCATGGTCCGGTGCTTCCATGGAAGGTTCCATGGATCGAGGTACACGTGGGGGTGGTGTTTTGAGATCCCTTTTAAAAGTGGGTACTTGGGATCCTCTAAGCTAGGCACCCCGTGTTGTGACTCTTGGATGTTTTACCTGCACAGACACGTCCACTGTTTGGCCCCATCAACCACACGCATCGGACGAAGTCGGCGAACCGCCTCGGGTTTCCATCAGGTCGCGTCGCTGCCGCCCCTGAGTGCAGAAATAGACGATGACCTTCGGGGGCAGAACAGAAGAGATTTCAAAGAACAGTTCGGCAACAAACATCACCACTCGTCAGTCGAACTTTGTTGTGCTATAGCTGCTAGCTGCTATGGATGTGTTTTTGCAACACTTGAGGGCAAGTTTCTTGACCCCCTTGGCTCACGACCCGCTAACCTCAAGCCACGGCGTATGCAACGTCGCCTCCTGTTGAACATGTCTCCCACAACAAGGGTGCATGATTGTGGGGTTTGCCCTTTGCCTCCAACCTGCATCAGTCTTCTTCGAAGTGTGGCATTTTGCTTTTCCTAACGTGTTAGTTTGGCTATGTTTGTGCAATTCGGCTGGTGGTCGAAAATCCCAGGCCATAGACAGCAGACGTGTTTGCCCCAAGAATTGTGGATATTCTCAGAACACCTGCAGTAGCCTACCGTTTGTCACTTCCTCCCCTGGGGTCAAAGAAAGCGTCCTAGATCGTGGGATCTCGTCCACTCCGTTGCAACGCCAAAAACCCAGATGCCGCAAGCGCAGAAAAAGCCGATCCTGATGTCGCTTTTTCATGCTGCGGTTCGGCCGATCCATGGGCGATCTGGTTCGGCTGATCCATTTGCTTTGGAATTTGGTTATATACTTAGATGTGCATTGCACCGGCGCAGCAAGGTACCGTCTGACCTGCTGGTCAGACTGTTTTTGGTTGGTCCGCTCCGCATGACTCGGAGAATCAACGCCCAACCCCAAAATCTAAGAGCTTCGTTCTTGGATGCAGAGCAGGCGGGTTGACATTGGATGTGAGAAGTTCGGACAGTTCACAGCGGGTTCACTGGCCGTTTCCAGTCGTGAGGAGACGACTGGCCCGCCTTTCGATGACTTCGAAGGTGAGTCCTTCGCTAGAGTACTTCTAAGAATACGTTATATAAGTTATGGCTGTCGTCTCCCCCATGCAACCTCCATCACTAGCATGTAGCTTGTTGTTTCACAACATTGAGCTTCTATATATGAGAATATCACCACACCTTGCATCAAACACCACTGGCTGCATTGGCTGCCACTTCTTTGTTCATCGGCGAGGCGAGTCTCGTTCATCCATCGGCGCAGTCTTTGGGCTCCGCCGGCGCCGCGGCCGGTCGCGCGCTACCGGTCGCGATGGCGGAGTGGGTTCCGAGTCCTCAGAACTCGGCGCCGGTGGATGACGTCTGCCACAGTGAATTCCACGCGGTTCACCTCTCTTATAGTATTCCTTGTGGATCAATAAAGATCTGTAGTGGCAACAGATGGCAACAGTATTGGTGATGATGATGTCGCTGTTGCGCACACCAATAGACAATGTTCAACAACATGCTGCATGAGTTTAATGTATATATATATATATTACTTCTTTATACTTCTTTGGTTTCTGGTTGTGAGCATTGGTATTTATTGGGCCATTGGGCCCCCAAAGAAACAAAACACGTGTGTTTGTGTGCGCGCCGATCTTTTTGCCACGGACAACGTTTAATTACCTTACTAGTTAGCTTCTTGTTCCTGGTAGCGATGGCCTCCAAGCTACTTGCGATGGCCACCGGTCGTAGCGTCCTTGTGGCTGCACAAAGAGCATGGGTTTAGTCGGCCGCCCAGGAGCTTTTGCCACCTTCCCATGGAAGCAGGGACGCCTAGAGGGGGGACAGGTGCTGTCACTGTCGCTTCCACCGGATAGACCTGAAACGCTGCTCATGGGGAGCATGTCTTTGAGAAGCCTGTTGAACTTGATGCTCAACCAGTTCTGATTCGAAAAAAGACGTGAGGATGTCGGACTTGTTCCTTCAGGCGTGGACAGGATTTTTAGATCATCTCCTTGTGGTGAGCAAGCCCAAACTCAGGCGCAACTTTTGGTTTGAACTGAATAGATTGACCTTGAAATTCCTAGGAACTGGATCAAGGTGCTGATTGATCCATTGGTTTCCAGGAATCACAGCCCTGCCCTGTGCACTCGATTTGGGCAATCACGCTGCCACTCAGCCTCACCTCACCCTTGTCTTAGCCCCGTCCGTGAAACGGGTCGAATCTCCTCACCGTCCGCTGCAACCGAGGACTTCGAAGAAGTCCGCCATTTGGGGCGCGGGGCCTTTGGGGAGGTGAAGCCCGGCGGCCCAGGAAGAACTGCAGCGATGTGGAGAGGAGAACGGCGGTTTGGGGTGTTGAGAGGCGGGTCTTTCGTTGACCGTGGTGCTTTTTGCCTTGAAGACGAAGAGGCAATGTTCAATAGACATTTGATCAGAATGGCTCTTTTTCGAGGCTGTATTTGTCAGTGGTCTGAGGTTTGGGGGGGTCATCAAGAGTCTAAAGGTACTGCATTCAAAAGCATGTTCGACCGAGGCTCATGCGGCAAACGTCCACCGGTCTCCTGTGTGCTGTTCGGGTGCCCAAGAGACCTGTCCTCCGAATGGACAGAGTTGGGACAGGTCTCCTGAAACATCCGGGTGTGCCAAGTAGAAGCCCCAGGACCCAGCGGGATTGGGTGGATCAGAACCGATGCTTCATCATTCAACCCCAAAACCATGCGAATACAGTTCGCAACGGACAGATGATGTTCGGATGTTACTTGTAACACCCCCTTTGACGCCCCAGGACGCCATCAAACATGAAAGCTAGAATCCTTTGAACACAGCTACCTCCGTGCAGTTCCCACAAAATACGAGCGACCAGGACACCTCTGGAGTCTACGATGACTTGTTTTGCTTCATTGGCATTTTCCACCAAAATATGCTGTCCATTCCCAAAATGGGACATTGGCATTTTCATTTTGTTTTTGGGGGCCAAGTCCCATTGCTGGCATGGCAATTCTTCTCTTCCGAAAGGCCGATCCGTTCACCGACGGACGGACGAAGCGCTTGGTCCGTGGTCGGGCCCAGGTGAAGAAGCTGGGCAAAGCTGCGTTGACCGCTGGGGGACCGAGAGGAACCGAGAGGGTCCAGCGTCACAAAAACGTCCGGACGAGGGCAGAGGATGGTCAAACCAGGTCAAAACCACTGAAAAAGGCCTCAGCAAGGGGGGTGTTTGGATCCCTGAAAAGAATGTTGTTTTGAAGCAAGTTCCCACCAGCTTGCAGCCCGGCCAGATTCTCCATCTCGGCCACGCAGAGCTGTTGTGGATGTGACCCGGGGGGAAGATGGTGCAGGGGATTTGTGGATATTTGTGGTCGAGTCTGAAACCAGTGGCACACGTTAAGGTGTATATTCGGGTAGATTGTTTGTTGTTTGGTGCTGTCAAAACACGACTGTCGTCACATCATGTCAAACATGTGCAAGAGATCAATGAATCAACGGAAAAGTCAACAACATAAATTATTTAACAGTTAGCAGACATTCTTCAATGACGGCAATGAAGATCCCCCAAAACATACACCAAAACACATGGATTGTTGCACCTTTGGTACCTCCCATGGGACCTCTGATGTGGCGTCGACCTGTCGCTTCGGTTTTCACGCACAGAAGGGGTCCCGCCCGTGAGGCAGGAGAAGAGGCCGAACACCTGGCGGAGGCGTTGGCACTTCTGGGATCGGGGGTCCCACCCGGTTGGCCAAGGGTGGAGAGATTGGGAGCCATTGGGAGCTGCCAATTTTTGGAGAGTTTCATCAGGTATGACGATATGATGTAGATGACTCGCCACCTGGGGGGACTTGTTTTAAGATGTAAGCATTCTGTTTTGCACATGGATTGCGAGCCTTTTTCTGTTTTCGCAGAGACACAGTACTTTGGAGTCGCTTGAGAACGTTACTACCCCGCAGGTTGTTGGCAAACTACATCAGTTGCAACCACAAAACTCCACCCAAGCACTTATACTACTTATAGATCAGAAATATCTCCGATTCTTGACTGATGGTCATAGCAAGTCATAGATTGTCATAGCCATGGCCACGACGACCATGACTCCTGGACCTCACCGAATGGCAGGTGAAAGCGTTGCAAACATTGCAACATCCGTGGGGAGCCCAGCGAACGAGCGGCAGTTTCGCCCAACGAGTTTGGGAGAGCGACGACATGCGACGACAAATGGGGCAAAGCAACCATCGGTCGGGGCTTGGTGTTTTTTTCTTTTCGACCGAGGTGAGTCTTTGGTGCTTTTTGCAACTGTGTTTGCAATGTTTATCATTACCACCAAGAAGCTATCGCCCCAAATGGGTATTGTTGTTCTCCCTATACATGGCTATAAGCGACCTGCGAATCCAGAACACCCGACCCCGTCCCACACAAACAAACTTCTCCGCCGTCTTGTGCCGAACGCGTACCGTACCTCTACCTCGCCTACCGGTGCCCACGGGCGCACGGCTCGCCGCCTCCGCGCCTCCACCCGGACGAAGGTGCATCCTTCGGTACTACGGCTCGGTGGAGTTGGACGAGACCTTGAGCTTAGCGCGGCGACCCAGCGCAAGTAACATGGCAAGTCCAGCGACCGGCTCCAAGCCTGGCAGTTTCAGGACTAAAGAGAGGTGATTTGGGGGTGGCCGTATTCAATATGATAGCATATTATAGGGTTTGCGCTAATACCTGTAACAGTCAGTACACAAATATTGCTATTTTTGGACAAGGCAAACCATCATCATCCACTGTTGCAGGTACTAGGATAGATCCAAAGTATATGATAACATCTTGGCGTTGCACATTCGCCTCAGGCCTCCAAGAGCAACTTGCTCTCCTGCGCAGCAGGTGAGTAGATCCACCACGCCCTAGCCCTCAGCACCCTTCAGTCAGTCAGCATCTTTTTAGGGTCTCCTCTCAGCCTCTCAGAGAACACCAGCTTTTAAAATATTTTGTATATATATATACCCTGATCTAAGGAGTCCACATGAGTGCTTGGTCATGAGTGCTTGGTCATGACTGTATATATGTGAGCTTCACAAACTTCCAGCTCCTCCTTTCAGACCGCGCCCTGACCATAATCTTCAGACGCCCACGGCCGTTAGAAGGATGGGCCGCGCCGTTTCCGCCAGCGCGGCCCACGGGCGTTTGGGACTTCCGCAGGTCATGGAGTTTGCGGATGCTGGTGACCTCCAGCAGTTGCTCAAAGAGCCGCCCGGCGACCGTTTCGTCGCAGGCTGTGCCGCCGCACAGCGCCGAAGTTGGAAGATTTCATCCATTGACACGGTGGATGGTGGTTGTTGGGGAGCCGATGGCCATGTTTTGTTGGGCTGAAAGTGACTGAGTGAAAGAGAGGGTGCTTTTGCTTGTTTTTTTCATCGCGGTTTTGGGGGATGTGAGATGGATGCTTTTTGAGATGGGATGAGGGCGCAAACGAAAACGACTACAAACAAATGGTATGGGGATGGTGCAGGATGGTACTAGAAAGGGTATGATGGCAGAAGTAATTCATGTTGTTGTTTTTTTGGGGGGGAGGGGTATATTACGGTGTATATATATATAATATGGAGAATGGATCACAGGGGTGGAGGCCATCGCCAGTAGAAAAAACAGAACAAGGAAGCTGGAAGAAAGAACCAGGGGTCACCTGGAGGGGAGTTGGATGGTTTCCTTCCATCCAGGGGCCGTGGAGTAGCTGGGGACCCCGTCTTGTGACTCCTGGCCGTGAATCGAACCGCCCAGTTCGACCGGGGACGAGCGGCCGTCCGTCCTTTTGCCGTGAACGGGTCGGGGAGGAGAGTCCCATCCCTTTTCAGAGTCGGTGAAAGATGGATGTCACCCCCCATTGTTATGTTGAGATGTCTTTGTTTTTGGATGTTTTTGGTACTAATTATGGGGTACTATGGGGCCATCATCATCCACGGTGTTGCTGCGAGAGATCCAATCATGAAAGCCGATACAGTACGATCCTTAGCCGTTCTGAGGGCCTACAATTAGTTCTTCTTCTTCCCAGGTAGGCGGACACATGTCCAGTCTCTGAGGCAAGCAGATAGTGGGAAGCTCTTCGAGGTGGGCGTTCGTTGGTGGAAGAGGTGCACGTGTAGAGGCGATAGTGATCCCCAAACAGATAGTGGCCTTGGTTTCCAACACCTGATTAGTGGGGATCTACATGTTCTATTTATCTTTGGGGTGTCTATATGCAGGATACACATTGGGGTTCTTCATCATCTCAGGTTTTCTCGAACAAATTTGTGTAGCTATCAGGATCTTCATATTTACCGTGGTCGGGAGCTTGAGATTTAACCTGAAGCCACACAAAGTTGTTTGGATTCAGATTCATGAGATGAAGTCTGATGTGGCTCGCTGCAAAGTGTGTGGGGGAAACGTTTGAAAGCCAATTGATTGAAGCCTTTGGCGTTTGCACATCATCCGCACATGACTGGTATAAGACGCAGAACGTGCACAATATTACTCAGTAACCTGTGCTAGTGACATCTTGGCCCCAACAAATCTAATTACAATGTCCATTCATATCCAAGTAATGGATATATAGTTTTATTGGAATTTGGAAATGCTTGCTAGCAAATAAAGTTCCATCTAGTTTTTTACAATTTCCAACAGATCTAATTACAATGCTTGCGGTGGCATAGTTAAAACCGTGCTGTTCTTGCCAGAGGCTTGCAGCACATGCGAGACAGGGGCCTGTTCAGCAGGACTCCACGTCGCGTCGCGACGCCATGGGACATGGAGAGCTGCGAGATCCAGGTGGGGTGTGAAGCTTCGACCTCTGGGTATGTGTCCAAGTGTTTGCTTCTTTCAAAGTCGCAGTCGCAGGGTTTGGGGTTTAGGGTTTAGAGAACGTAGCACGGCTATGCTTGCAACGATGGTAAGAAACTTGATAGGTGGCAGGATTTTCAGCTGCCGCATGCCATGACAGTGGGCGTTTTTTCGGGCGAGGGAACCATGGCGAAGGAAACAGCAGACACAGGCCACACAATCTGACACCATCACGGCAGCTCCCCGTGCTTGTCGCTGTCCGTTGAAAAGAATCCACAGCACGTTCTATTCAATTTGTGGATATTCGTGGTAAGACTTGCACAAAGAAGAGTGAATTCGAGTCATCTCAATTTTGAGAGCTTCTCTCGTCATCCACCAATCTCTGCCGTGTCTCGTAGGCATCATCACCATTCGGGTTTAAAGGGAACGTGTTACAGACCAAACGGATCGTCGATTGGGGGCTTTCCAACCCACGGTGTCCACCGTTTCCCACCGGCCGATTTGTTCGATACCGGGACCCACGGAGCCCGTCGGTCTCGCCCTCGCCAGGTCTCCGTGTCGGGCTTGGATGGCTACAGCTTCACCGTGACGGTCTCGGAGCAGCTCTTGGGGCGTGAGCTGTGGGACATCATCCACGCACGGCTCCCACCGAAGCCAGGCCGGCCTGTGCATGTGTGTGATAGAACTGTTTGAGGGGTGAATGGTGAATGGTGAAGACCATCATCGTGAAGGATCGGAACTCCGTTGACGGAATCGCAGGTGCGCGTCTCCTGCTGCAGCTCCTTGGCTTTTAAGACCTCGGTGAAGAAGGTCGACTTGCAGATTCAAAGGCTTCAAGTCCGGCCAGACTGAACCCTTGAAACTTCATCACCTTGTTAAATCGCCAGGCACCTTTTGTAAGGCTGGAACAGCTGAAACTGTGGTTGCCTTTTTTCGGTCACTTTGTTCCAGGCTGTGGTGCTGACCAGGCGGGTAGGAACTGACCAGGCCCACACCCTCAAAATCGAGCCCGTTATGCAAATGTTGCATGCCTGGTCCATGCAGTACCTGGAAGTTCTGCCAAGAAGGAAGTGTGCTCGACCGCACCACTACCACAACAAAAAGAACCTCAGATGTGGACCTCAAGACCTCAGATGAGGACCCTTAAACTTTGAAGATGCTCCATAGTTAACAAATCCTTCGATGGTTCCCCACAGGTTGCGATTTCGCCACAGGGGATTCTCAAAACGGAGCACCAAAACCGGAGATGAACGGTGATGGGTCGTGATCCACCAAGTTCGCCCGAGCAAGCCACCAAGTAGCCTGTTTGACCGACACCATGTACGTCAACTGGTCGGCGTTTGCCATGCCCCGCTGGTCTCTTGAGGCACGAGTCTCAAAGGCTCTCGCTGAGTAGATCTTTGAAAGAGCAAGGCCTAAGCAAGGCTCTCACCGGCACTGGCTTGTCCTATGTCACTTGGCGCCGGCCAATTGGAGAAGGACCAATTCGGAGGTATGTGGGAAGGAAGGAATTTGGCCAAAATGGGTTTTATGATGTTTCATTCACCCTATAGGGCTCCAAGTACCTTCGTTTCGAAGGTGGGACTGGGGTGGGTGCTATTGTCGGGTCCAGTCATACCGAACCTGAGGAGGCATGACTGGAGGTGTAGGGAGGAATTGGGTCACCTTGATGGGTGGATGACTTTTTGAATCGGTGGAGGATTGATTTCTTTTGGTCCGTCTACTGTGGCTAAGCGGCCACTGTGGCGTTTGTGTGTTCAATGCGACGGGATTGGGCGAGGCCTAGCCGTTGAGATAGCAAGGCCCTGGTGGCGACTTGCGAGGCCAGGCTAAGCTGGATGATTGTCCAAAACACCCAGGCTCAGTGAAGTATTTGTTTGGAGCGGAGGTGTCAGAGTTCTCTTTCTATGGCCAAAACCGGGTATTGGTGCGGCTCTATTGGCTCTATTGGTGCTTATGTGAATGGCCACATTATGCCACATGTTTCTTGAATTTGCATCACTTAGGTCTATGTGGCCATTGACCTTCGCCATGCGTGGCGTTTCATCCAAAACTTGCCTGTAGAGGATGTGGAGCTGTCACTGGAGGGAATCACAGCTGTGGATGGCATCGAACATATGGGGCAGGTGCTGTGGCCGACACCTTGTGAGGTGGTGGTGGATTAAAGGAATCGCTCCCGGCCCTAGAGGACGGCCGTACGAATTGGGCATCACGATGTAAACACACGTGTCTGACAGGGCCCTTGACGCCGGGAAGAACGGCGGACGGGTCGATCGTCAGTTGAACGGGGGAAAACGGATGAAAACGCAGCCGATTTGCGTGACGCAGCGGTCCAGGAGACCCCGAAGTCCAAAGCTCTGTCCTTGGGGACCCTATGGGCCCGAATCCGGAGGGGTCAAAGGGTCGAACCATTTTCCAGCTGAGGGACCGGTCGGGCGTTACTCGGGGTCGCGTTTGGGGAGGAACGAAATGAAACCGCCCTATGCCATGACGGTCCCAAGATCACGTGAAATCGACTTCGCAATCGCGAAATGCGTGAAATCGTTGGTTCAGTGGGTCAGTGGGTGCGCCCAGGTGTTGCAGATGCAGCTGCTTCCGAACCGCTTGCAACACCTGTCCTTCGGTGAGGCAGAGGATCAGCTGGACCTGAGGCAGCTGGACATTCCGACTTTGAAAAGCCTTCAGCTGGGGAGTCGCTTCAACCAGAGCTTGGAACAGGTGACCCGACGATGGGTCCGGCTTTTGGTTGGCAGAAAGGAAAAAACTCCGTGCTGTTGAAGAATCATGTTCGGGTGACCAGTGCACTGGGCTTGCCGGGCTCGGTTGTGGGGAATGTCATGGTTTTTCTTTGCTCTCTCAGGGATGTCTTTTTGATATGCCACTTGGGCATGGCTGCACACATGAAGGAGAACATTCGTCCACATCTAGCTGATGTCAGTGGCACCAATGGGGTTTCTTCATATCGTGATCATATATACCCTGGAAGTCAAAGATTATTCAACAAAAAAACATCATATTCCGGTATAACATCAGATGATATGTAAAACAGAATTGAATGAAGACAAACTATTAATTCGTTGTGGCCATGCAAAGCATACAGAGTGTATTAAAAAAATGGGAAGATCATCAAATGTTTTCTATTAGAAAGGTGTGTCGATATCCACTTGACACTTTCGGCTCGTTTAGTTGAAGATAGGTTCGTTGATGACCTGTAATAAGTGTCACCAGTCCCAAGCCCGGGACGGTGACACGTGGTGCCTGGCGTGCTCCGCGTGGGAGACGCTTGGGCAGGAGCTGACCAGTCGGTGGTCGTGCTCCTCGTCTCGGTGGCTGGCAGACGATTTAGTCCTGTCAGTCACCCGCCAGGTGCGGTTTCTCCGGAACCTCAGCGCTGGCATCAGGGCGAACGCGGAGGCAGCAGCTGGCCGGTCCGATCGCCCAGTGGCCGCTGGCAAGCGAGCCAGAGAGGAGCACGACGACAAGCCGGTTCTTCAGAGGAGGAAGGAAGCCAATCAACAGCACGCCTTGGACCTTCAGCCAAAAAGGAGGAGCGACAGGCTAAGCAAGGAGGTGCTCTCAGACACCGACGAGGATTCCGAGGAGGAAGAAGTGGTTGAGACCACCCACAAGCCATTGCCTGGATCGAACGACAGGAAGCCACCGGAGCCAAAAGGCCCACCTCCATCGCGGAGGCCACCGGTTGCAAAAGAAGGCCAAGCACAGAGCAGGAAGGAAACACCAAAGGATCGGAAGGCTGGAACACGACCCGGAGCTTCCCATCCATCGCAAGTTGACAGGGGCATTGTTGGACAATCTGGCATCGGAGCTGGAGCGGGATTTCCGTGACACCCACCAATGACTCACAGGGTTCATCGAGAGGGTGAAGTCTTCACCCAATCAGATTTTGTACAATGGGTGACATTGGCACGAATGAGGGGAGATGTGCTGGTAGTAGACCTGGGCACGTCCTCTTATCAAAGCGCACCTCAAACCCTTGGCTACCTTGTCCTCGAGGTTCAACTCATCCCGGGAACTGGAACCCTTGCAGTTCGGTGCAAAAGCTTGGGCTCGTCCAATCCCAGTCTCAACAAGGACCTATCGCTGCGGTTCAACAGAAAGCAAGGCTGGTTGCATTTTTGCAGTTCAAACCCCTGCATAGAGGAGCATGCCGGCGACATCCATGTGTCCAGCGTTGTATGGCACTCTCTGGCTGGAGCGGAGGATCAGTTGACAGCCACCGCTGTTCGGTCTGCCAGAAAATGGCTTGCAGAGGTAGAAGAGCCCTACTGGCC